ATGCAGAAGCATTTTTAGCACTGACCAGAAATTTGTTCTACGCTGAGCTACAGAAACCCAGTACAAAACGGTGATTCTTGTTTCAAGGAGACTAACATTTAAAGCATTCTTGAGCAGAACCTCAAAGTTACAGAAACCTTCAGACCAGAAGGTGAAGAATGTTTTAGTACCTTTAGTAATGTGGATTACTAAATGTGGACTTTGTCAAGTCATGCCTACATTAGCCTTGAACACATTTAGTTTTATTTTTTGCTTTATTTACTTTTTGTAGGAGACCATCCTGACTTCCACTGAGTTGGTGGGGAGGAAAGAGGCTCTGAGGGTCTGCAGAGAATCTTCTTTCCTCAAGTAAATGCCAAGGCCTAAAGATATCCTTATAATGGGTAGCTCATACTTAACTTTTCTCATGTCCAGTTGTGGGAAGAGGTGTATATATATATATATACAGCTATATACCTAGCCAGTATATATCGTTAGTATAGGAACTGGTCTCTGCCCTGATAAGCCTGCTGTCTGAGACAGGACAACAACTTGTATCTGGATGCACCGGCGTTATTGCTGGTACAGCATGAAGTACTTGTTTGTTTTCTTCTCTCTGAGGCTGTTTGCCTTTCAAATCTTCAGAAACAAACAATTGTCAGAACATGGAGAAACATCAGATTACAGACTTCACCTCCAAAGGAGCACAGCAAGCTGCTGAATGTCATGGCAGCCCTAGCCAGGACCTGCCTGTTGACACAGTCGAAGGAATGCTCTTTTTAAATTTGGCTATCGCTCTCAGCTCTATTGTTCCAGTCTCCGAAGGAAAAGCTTGCTTTGACATTTCAAACAAAATGAATAGCGTTGCCATGTAGCATTGTTCTCCACAGCACCAAGGACGTTGCCATCAGGATTGCAGTCACTGCAACCTTTTTCTTTCCTGTGTGCGCTCCGCCTGCCCACAGCTGGCTCACATTCCCTCCTTAATGTCAGGTCTTGACTGGGGTGATGGGACTGCATGAGCCCCCTCTGGCGGATGGCTCCTGCACACTCCAGGCTCTCTCCGGAAAATGCAGTGCTCTTTCTTCTTGAGTGGCAGCCGTTCTGTTGGCTGAAGTGAGCGTTAGGGATTGGATTGTTATTGTTTGGTCTTTTGTTTTTATTCCTATAAAAGCCAAAGGCAAATTAAATGTATAGAAAAGCTTGTAATGTACAATAAAATATGACACCAAGTATGTTCAAAACAAATTAGTTCTAACAGGGAGCATTTGGGTGTCTAGAAATTTTGTAATCAAGAACGTATGTATTAGTGTTTTCATGTGCAAATTTTTTTAAAAAAAGTTTCCTTTCTTAGTACAGCAAATGCCTTTAATTGACACAAATAGAATTATTTGCAATGATAGTTTGAAATTCGATTTGATTTATGATAGATTCATTTGAACTGGGGACTGGGACAGGGGGATGCTGGGGATGCTACTGTTCTAGGGGATCCTAGATCTCTACAAAGGCAGTGAGAAATCCCAGCTGAAGTGCCTTTAAACCAATGCACACAGCCTGGGAAATAAGCAGGATGAGTTTGAAACTGTGATGTGCTTGGAAAGTTATGACCTTGTTGCTATCACGGAAACATGGGATGATTCCCATAACTGGAGTACCACCATTAAGGGTATTCCAAGTATTCCTCTTTAGAAGGATAGGCGAGGTAGTAAGGGGGGGGAGTTGCCCTCTATGTCAAAGAG